CCTCCCTCCCTCCCTCCTTCTCTCTCTCTCTCTCTCTCTCTTTCTTTCTTTCTTTTGTCTCTCTATGTAATTCAAGCTGGCCTTGAATTCACTATATAGCTCAGGCTGACCTTGAATTCACAGCAGTCTTCCTGGGTCAGCCTTTCAAGTGCTGGGATTCCAGGGGTGCACCACCATGCCCATTATCTGTGGGTTTTTATACTGACTTTCTGTCTAACCAGCACTTCTCACCCACAGAGCCTCATTGGGGACATCGACAATGCCATGAAGACTTTCCTCAACTACTACACTGTGTGGAAGCAGTTTGGAGGGCTCCCAGAGTTCTACAACATCCCTCAGGGATACACAGTGGAAAAGCGAGAGGGCTACCCACTTCGGCCAGGTGAGCAGCCGCTTAGGCCCACGGCCAGCCTGTGGGTGCTGGTTCTTTGTGTTCTAATCCCTCAGAAGTGCTTGCAGTTTTTTCCTCATGTGATCCAGTGGCTCTGAGTGGTTTTTTCCATTAGGAATTATTGGCCCCATATTTCCAGGGATGGACACTGAGGCCTAGTGGCTTGAAGTAGCTTGGCCAAGGCTGTAAAGTGCAGGAGCTGGGGCTGGAACCCAGGTCTCTTAACTTAGCCCCATGTTATTTTCAAACTTGGGAAAGTAAGCAAGAAGGAAAACATCAGGTTACTTATTTCTGATTTCAGATTGTACGCAAACTGCCACAGGCAGTAAGTGGATCAGGTAGATTATTCTTTTGTGGTATGGGTGGCAGAACTGTGGGATGGGCCTTAGGCACCATCTAATCTTTTTTCCTTTCCATTGGCAGCTCAGAGTTAAAGGTACCACACACTAGACCCTTCCTCAGTTCCTTGCCAGCCCTGATGTCCTCTGATTCATTGCAGGAAAGCAAAAAACTATGAGGAGGGAAGAGGGGACAGAGGCAGGAAGCTTAGTCAACACACAGGCATCCTCACCCCAGGATAGTTTGTAAGTTGACGTTGTCTTAGATGCTTCCCACCTACATTGCTGTGAGCCATGGGATGGGGTCTTCCTAGGGCCACTGCCTTTTCTACCTTCATGAGGTTGTGGGACTTTGGAAGGGGACAGAAGGAGTGAAACAGGAGTTCCAAAGGGCAAATTAATCACTTTGGAATTCTCAAGTGTTGCTGTTCTTGGTGTTTCTCATGTATTCCCATTTTTTTGTTTTTAATTTATTCAAAAAAAAATTTTTTTGAGATGGAGTCTCACTATGTAGTCCAGGTTGGCCTCAAACTCATGATCCTCCTACCTCAGCCTCCTGAGTGCTGGGATTATAGGCATGCACTACCATGGCTGCCTCATAGCATTTTGGCAGGAAGGCACTGATGGAAAATAAGGCGCTATTGCCAGGAATCCAGAAGTGCCTTTGTCCAGTCACCCTTCCCCAAAACAGTAGCACATGGGAGATAGTGTACTGCTCTCTAGCTAGCCCGGCCAGTGTATTGTGCTCCAGTACATGACTCTGATCCGCAGTTGTGGAGCATAGAGCCTGAATAAAGGCCTCTGGTGGTCATTACCTCCCCTAAGTCCAGATCTAACCCCTGAACTGTCATCTTCCTTCAGAAAGTTGGCTGCATGATACATGACAGAGTAAAGTAACAGCCAGCAAACTTGTGGTGCTGAGAAAACAAGGCTGGCCTTGACCTGGCCTGCTGCTAGACACAGAAGAATGGCTTCCTACGGAGCACTTTTTCTGTCTGCATTCATTGGCTAGGAAATGTGCCCGAGTCTATGTCTTAGGGCATGAGCAGCTGTATCAGCCTTGTCCAAAGCCCCTGAATGGCCAAGAAGAGGAAGTAGGACAGAGCAGGGTGATGGACCTTTTCTCCAACGTAAGAGCAGGAGTTTTCAGTCTTATATCAGGAGGCAGAGAAATGCTGGCTGATATCAAGGAGGAGGAAACGGGAGGAGAAGATCAGGGCAGATGTTGGTGGGGTTGAGGGAGAGCAGTGACAAAGTAGAAAAGCAGCTGTGGATTCTACTCAATGAGCCACCTTTAGTGGACAGTCAGATCTTTTCTGTAACAGTGCTGCAGCTATTTGAAAGCAGTAAACACGTTTTCCTTTTTTCAGAAAAATACTCTCATTGGGACCCATTGCTGTTGGCTAATATTCTCCTTGAAATTGGTCTTGTGTCTTTACATTCTAATTGTGAGGTAGAGTAAGGCAGGGCACTCCTTTTATTCTGGGCACAGTGAGCCAATGACTGTGCCTCTGCAGATCAAAAGTTAGCACTTGAATCTCTTACCTTTGTCTTTTTGTCTGTCCTTTCTCAGCAAGGGCCTATTCTTCATTTAAGCTTTCAGATTAGGTTAGGGTGTGAATGGTGGGAAAACAATATTGGTTTAATTAAGTCAGAAATGTATTTCTTGCCGGGCATGGTGGTGCATGCCTGTAATCCCAACACTTGGGGAGGCTGAGGCAGGAGGATCACTGCAAGTTCAAGACCAGCCTGAGCTACACAGCGAGACCCTGTCTCAAAAAGCCAAAAAAAGAGAAATGTGCTTCTGTCTCATATTCTGGTCATATATGGCTCTCCATGGTATTATCTGTGGGAAATGGTTTTGTTTTTGTTTTTTTTTTTTTTTTGGTACCAGGGATCTAACTCAGGACATTGCCCTTGCAAAGCAGGCAGCGCAGCCACTGAGCTAAATCCCTGGCCTGTGGGGAATTGTTAATCTAGGCAGCCATGGCTTGGCTGAAGTCAGGGATTCTGTTATCAAGGATGAAGGAAGGAACAGGGATTAAGAAACAGACTACAGCCTCTGTCACCTTACATTTACATTGGTCTCCACTGAGCTTTGGGCTTTAGGCCTGTTGGCTCTGAATACCCAGCACTGGGTGAAATATCTCATGTTCCTCTTAGTTGGGGCTAATGGACAATGGATAGAAGAGAGGAGTCCCTGAGCGTGCCCCAAGCCAGGCCTGCTCAGGCACTGAGTGAGGAAAATCTGCTTTAACCTTTGCAGAGCTCATTGAGAGCGCAATGTACCTTTACCGAGCCACAGGCGATCCCACCCTCTTAGAACTCGGGAGAGATGCTGTGGAGTCCATTGAAAAAATCAGCAAGGTGGAGTGTGGATTTGCAACGGTAAGTGTCTCCCCTTAGCACTAAAGAGCCTCTTCCAGGGTGGGGTCTTGGCAGTGCTGGAGCATTAGCACTGGAGTGGACCTTGGAGATGTATATAAATTAATGAACAGAGAAACTAAGAGCCTTGCTGAAGCTCACACAAGCTGGAGGAGGAGCGTTAGAGTTAGTCTTGATCCTGTGCCCTTGGTAGCCCCCTGTACCAGAGATCCTTATCCTCATTAAGCTACTTTGCAAGGCGAATTTTCTGAAAAGTTTTCTAAGATGGTATATATATAAAATGTTTTTTTTGTAAAGTGGTTTTTTACAAAGGGAAGTCCTATCCTGGGGATTTAGCTCAGTGGCACCACACCTGCCTTGCAAGCACGAGGTCCTGAGTTTGATCCCTGGTACCAAAAAAAAAGGGAAATCCAGCTGGGCATGCTGGCACATGCTTGTAACAAGATTTAGGAGGCTGAGGCAAGAGGATCACTGTGACTTTGAGGCCAGCCTGGGCTACATAGTGAGACCCTGTCTCAGAAAAACAAACAACAAAACAAAGGAAAATCCAGAGTCCTATATTCCTGTATTCAAATCTGGATCCTTTTAACAAAATGGCCCTGCTAGTGTTACAGGTATTATCAAATGCCTTTTGCATGCCAGGCACTGTACACCAAGCCTGTGCTCCGATGGAGCTCACACATAAGTAGGAAAGACAATGAATGTGTATCTGGGAGACAGAAAGAAGCCAGTGTGGGTGGGGTAGATTGAGCAAGAAGGAAGTGGGGAGAGGAGGCTACAGGAGGCAGGGGCTGGATCAGAGAGGGCCTCTTGTAAGCCGTGGGAAAATTGGATTTGGGTCAGTGTGGCATGAGAAGCATTGGTCGGTCCTACAACAGTGCTGTGATCTGATTTGTATTTTAGAAATATCACTCTGGCTGCTGTGGAGAATGGGTTGAAAGGGTCAAGGGTGAGAGCCAGGTCATATCCTTATAGGACCCAAGCAGGCAAGATATTAATAAACAGTCATTACAGGCACAGAACAACAAATATATAAGAAAATAGTCTGAAAGAAAATTCCCCGAGAAGCCTACAGAGTTCTTGTTAGGATATGGGATTTTTTTTTTAAAAGGGGAAAACACTTTTGCAAATTTGTTATGTGGTTGTATTTTGTAAGTAAAATACAATCCATATTTTGAAAGAAAAGACTTGTATGTATAGGGGAAAATAAAGCAGTGATATGTTTGGTTTCCAAAGGGTATTGGTTTTTCCGTGAAAAACCAAAGTGGCAGGTCCATTGGGGCCTTCTTGGGAATGCAAGGCTCATTTCCATGAAAGCAAAGCTCTTTGGAAGTCCTCCAGGGTGCATGATGGGAACAGGCATCTGATCCCGGCCAAACAGGGCAAGAAAAGAAGTCAGTGCGTAAAGTCCATATTTGAGTCATGTTTTTAAATGTAAGATGTCCACTGAGAATTATAGTTTTATTTAAATATATTGCTAACTCTGAGAGGCTAAAAATGTTTGTACCGAGTTATCTTACTCCCCCATGCCTGTAAACGTAATGAAATGTTCTAAATTAGACACCTCGTTAGTTATTTATAATAGTAAAAACTTGGTAACCACCTTGATACCCACCAGGGAAGGATTAGCTAAGTAAATGACAATTCATTTTGATGATGGAATATTCTGTCATAGTTAATAGTCAGAAAACAGTAGTGTAAAAGGGATAGGAGATTGTCCTGTCATGAGGAAGGGAAAGTGAGGGAGGCCTCTGAGGAAGGAAGGGAGGGAGGGAGGGAGGGAGGGAAGAAAGGAAGGGAGGGAGGGAGGGGAAGGAGAGAAAGAGGGACAGAGCAGAGGGAGGGAGGGGAGAGGCAGGGAGGACCCGGAAGAAGAGTGCCCCAGACTGAAGGAACTGCTGACGCAAAGAACTTGAGGTAGCAGATCCTACCAGCTCAGGAACGAGAAGGCCAAGTGGCTGGAGCTGCAACAGCAAAGATTCCAGAGGCAGTGGATGAGGGAAGGAGCTGGAGCCAGATCCTGAAGGACCTGGTAAAGCTTGGGTTTATAACCTTTGTGAAAGGGGTTGTTGACCCAACATTGTGAAAGGAGGGTGGCAGGTAAGATTCATGATAAATATATCACAGGGTATGGATGGAAGCAGGAAGTCCCATTGGAAGCAGTTGTGATCGTCCACGTAAGAGATGGTGGTGGCTTAGAAAAGAGCAAAGCTCTTGAGAAGAGGAGTGATTCAGCCAGAAGCCTTCGGTACTGTGATGCTGTTCTGACTCGCTTTCTTCTCCCACACGGCAGATCAAAGATCTCCGAGACCACAAGCTTGACAACCGCATGGAGTCCTTCTTCCTGGCCGAGACTGTGAAATACCTCTACCTTCTGTTTGACCCAACCAACTTTATCCACAACAATGGCTCCACCTTCGATGCTGTGATGACCCCCTATGGGGAGTGCATCCTGGGGGCTGGGGGCTACATCTTCAACACAGAAGCTCACCCCATTGACCCCGCTGCCCTCCACTGTTGCCAGAGACTGAAGGAGGAGCAGGGGGAAGTGGAAGACTTGATGAGGGAATTCTACTCTCTCAAACGGAGTAGGTCAAGATTCCAGAAAAAGACAATGAGTTCGGGGCCCTGGGAACCCCCAGCAGGGCCAGGAACATTGTCCTCACCTGAAAACCACAACGAGGCAGGGGAGAAGAAGCCTCCGAAGCAGAAAATCTCACTTCTCAGCTGCCCCAGTCAGCCCTTTACCTCTAAGTTGGCGTTGCTGGGACAGGTTTTCCTGGATTCCTCATAACCACTGGATGATTTATTTTTATTTTTATTTTTCTGAGACTAAACTACAGCAATAAATCTGCTTTTGGCTATTGTATTTTACATAGTGAATTATTTTTATTTAAAGAAAGGCTAATAATAATTTGTGGCTAATAACAATTATGAATCTTGTTTATTTTTCTCAGAAAGTTGGAGAAACAGCTAAATCCCAAGTTAGCTCCTCTGAATGTCTCAGGACTTTATTTAAATCTTCCTTCCTTTTCTGGTACTTTTGGAGAGGGTGCTGTTATGAATGTATTTCTTTGCTGGTTCTTACCTAGCCTGTGTTTCTGCCCTTTACCCATCCCCTCTATCCATCTATTCTTCCAGGCAACAAAGATTTATTAAATATCTTAAATAACCCACCATGACCTGAGAGGGTTAGCAGCAAACAGGGGAGTTTTTATTCCTGTGGAAACTAAATTCTAGCAGGTAAAAATAAACTCATGACTATATACAGTGACACCGACCTAAGTTCCACAAAGAAGATAGGGTGCTGTGCTCACCAGCAGTGGGGTAAGTTCAGCTACCTTAGCTAGGGTGGTCTGGGAAGGAAGGACTTGTTGAAGGAAGTTTTTAAACCTTCAGTAATACAAAATTTTAAATGAACAAAAGAGAATAAAATAGTAATCCATCAGGTGCTTATCACCCAACTTCGACAAATCCAGCTTCAAAGATGGTAGACTCATGGCCAACCTTACTTCATTTGTATCTGTTCAGGATCATTTAGTCTCCAGCATTGTGTCATTTCATCCTTAAAAATACTTCAGAATGCATCTCTGAAGCACACCTATAAAAATCAAGTTACTCTTTAATTCCTTCAAATATTTAATTAAAAAATTCAATTAGGGCCTGAGATTTAGCTCAGTGGTTCCACCACCTGCCTCACAAGTGCAAGGTCCTAAGTTCGATCCCCAGTACCAAAATAAAAATTAAAATTTCAATTAATGTTTGCCATTTTTTATTGTTTTATAAACTTGTATTTTTGAATCAAGATTCAAGCAGGGATCATATATGTGGAATACCTACAATGTCTTCTACAATTCTTTCCTCTTTGTCCTCCATCCATCTTCCCTCCTTCCCTATTCTTCCCCTGTTTTCATTGCAAATTCTTGATGAAACAGTTGTCTTATGGATTTCCCATATTATGGATTTTTCTAATTGTGTCTCTGTCATGTTTATATGTGGCACTGTATTTTTTTGTAAATTGATAATATCGAGAGACATCAGGTTCATTTTTCATTTATTTTTCAAGAATGGTTCATAAATGGTGTTGGGTACTTCAGTCAGGAGGCACATTATATCTGGTTTCTCTATTACCAACAGCCATTTGTCAATCATTGTCCATATCCATTATTTCAATAAGAATTATAAAGTAGTGGTATTCTAATTTTTCTAGAATATTCTCTAAAGAATGACTTCCCCTCATTAATTGTCTGGATACTTTGAGATGCAATTTATTTAGGAAATCCAGGACAATCACGAATACTTGATTCTTTTTCTTTATTTACATTTCCAAAATAATGAGTGGTCTCTCTTGTATTCTCCAAAAGTGAAAACTTTTTTAAAGTACTCTGAAATTTTGGATTTAAACTTATTCCATGGTTTTCAGTCCATTGAAATTATCCTTATGAAAGCTCATGTTGCCCCATTTGTGGCCAGTAGAAGCCTTTCTCTTGAGTTAACAAGTCCTGTTAACCCCAGTAGGCTGTAATAGCTCCCTTGCTTTCTGGCATAATAAGATGTTCCAAACTCCTCTTGTATCTTTCTTGGCCTCAATCAGCTGTTGAAATTCTTGAGAAATTGACTTTCCTTCTTTTTCTTTTTTCAAGGTAGAGACTCACTTTGTACCCCAGGGTGGTTTCAAACTTGGAATCTTATCTAAGCCTCCCAAGTTGTAGAATTTGCAGATGTGCACCACTATGCCTGGCTTGAAAGTGACTTAACCAGGGACCTTGTCTGGCTTTCTCTGCGCACTTCATCTTTGCTCGTGATTCTTGGTTAACTCAGCTGTCAATTATTTTCTGCAGTTCCAAGGCAAGCATTGAGGGCTACCTTAATAGAAAGACCTCTTGCCCTTCCTTTTATCATGTTGCCTTTTATTGTAACAGACTTATGCTTAACTCCCCACAGCACAGATGAGGCCTGCTGTAACATTTTGGGGGGGTGGGTACTGAGGATCAAACTCAGGACCTTGCACTTGTGAATCAGGCGGCGGAACCACTGAGCTAAATCCCCAGCCCTACTTTTGTAACTTTTAACACATCTTGACTGAAAGCCTGAGACATGCTGGAAGAGATTGTGTCACTCAGAAACTGCCACCCAGAAACTAACAACTGTGTACCATCAGCCAAGGCTGGCCTTAGAAACCCCATTATTTAGGACTTCTCTGTGGCTGAGGCCAGCTTACACTGACATCTAGGGACACTCTTGAGCATGAGTCAACATTCCAAAGATAGTTTTTTCCTAAAAATCTATTCTCTTCCCCAACTTAGATAGTTGTATTTTTTAATGAATGTGTTGACTTAAAGTTGTATTTTTATTTTTAAGTTTTTTGCACAGTTTATTTGAGAAAGTAAAAGTGAAGAGTGGGAGAGAAACTGGCTCTGCAGAGCCATCTTGGGCTGAGTAAATAGAAAAAGAGAGTAAGAGCAAAGGTAAAAGTATATGCTGCATCTGGGAAACATAGCATGGGATATTGTGGGAAGCAATAGCCCATAAAGTTGTTTTATCTCATTTTTATTAATATTAGTTATCCAAGACTTCTCTTTCTCTTGATTAGCATTGCCAGAAATTTTTATTGTTTTTCAAGAATAAACTTTTACTTGTTGCTCTCTGGTACAGTTCAGACTGAATGTCTCCCAGCGACCTGTATGTTAGAGGCTCAGTCCCCAGAGTGGTGCTCTTGGGAGGTGGTGGAACTGTTGACGGGCAGGGACTGGTGGGGGTCCTTAGGTCGTGGAGAGCATGTCCTCAAAGGAATAGTGGGATGCTGACCTTCTCTTCACTCCCTTCCTCAGGGAGTGGTGTTTTACTCTCTCATCTGCTCTCAGCCCTGATGTGCTGCCTTGCCATAGGTCTCGAAGCAACAGGACAGTTGATCATGGACTGGAATCTCCCAAATTATAAGCTAAGAAAAACCTTTCTCTGTATAAGTTAGTAATCTCCAGTATGTGTTAAAGTGATGGAAAGCTGACTAACACACTATCAATTGTATGTTTTCTGTTGTACTGATTTCTGCTTTTATTTTCTTCCTCTGCTTTCTTTGAATGATTCTGCTAGAATTGCCTGTTACTGTGGCATAACCTCATGTATAAGATATCTTTCATCTGCCCTCTGGACATACTCTTAGTTCTTTGCAACCATGTTATTTGCCCTCAAAGAATATGTCATTGTCTGCTCTTTCAGTCCCACATAACATCAGTAGGCCGCTAGTTGCATCCAGTCCCTGGGGAGCCCAGACAAGAGACTGGAGAGAATAGGGTAAGGTCAGGGTATGCAATCCCTGGTTCTCTTCCTGCAGGGAAGCCTGACTGCATTTCTCGTTGAAATCTGCTGTTTCTCTCAAGGTGACCTTCTCTACACAACTCTTCAGGTGATGGTTAATTTCATATGTCAACTTGGCTGGGCCACTGAGTGCTCAGTTATGCAGCCAAACATTATTCTGGGATGAAATTTAATACTTTAATCAGGAAAGTGAAGGGACCTCAGCCAATCAGTTAGAGCTTGACTAGAACAAAAGACCAACCTTCTGTCACATAGGAAAGATTCTCTAGCAGACCATTCTCAGATTATTCATACCATCAGCTCTCCTGGATTTCAAACTGCTGGTCTATTCTGACTTTATCTATATCTGTAAGTATGTCAGCTAATTCCTCATAAAGCTGTGTGTGTTGCCAGGCATGGTAACACACACTTGTAATACCAGGTAATGGTGTTTCAAAATAAAAAAAAATAATCCTGTGACTATGTTTCCATAGGACTTTGAAGATGTGATTAAGATTCTGAGACACTGGTCCTAGATAACCCTAGTGGGCTTATGTAATGATAAGGACGTTCATAAGGAGACAGGAGGGCTGGGCTGGGGCTAAATGGCAGAGCAGGCCCTGGGTTCCATCCCCAGCACCTGGGGGTTGGGAGTGGGGCTCAGAGTAAGCAAGGTAGTGACAGTTGCAGAGGACAGGGAAAATACATTTGAAAATGTTGCTCTGCTGGCATGAAGATGAACAGAGGGGCAACAGGCTAATGAATATAGACAGCCCTAGAATCAGGAAAAGGAAAAGGAAAGGATTCTTGCCTAAAAGCTCCAGAAGACACCGGTCTTGCTGACTCCTTGCTTCTAGCCAAGTGAACCCCATTTTGGACTCCTGACTTCCAGAACTAGAAGAAAGTAAGTGTACACTGTTTTTAAGGTGCTCTGTGATAATTTGTTACAGCAGCAACAGGTTTCTAATACAAGGATTGAAGTTACCACTACCAGGAGCAGGGAAGATCTGTATCTCATACCTTCTGATGCTGACAGTAACAGCATCACACCTGCGATATTCCTGCCAGAAAGGCACTGCCTGAATCTCTTTTTTTTCCCGGTACCAGGAATTGAACTCAGGACCTTGGGCTTGCTAGGCAGGTGGTGGCATCACTGAGCTAAATCCCCAGCCCATGTACTGCCTGAATCTAATATAAGGAAACTAGCAAACTCAAACTAAGGGACCTTCTACAAATTAACTCTCCTAAGGGCTGAGAATATACAGCTCAGTGATGCCGTACCTGCCTGGCAAGTGCAAGGTCCTGAGTTTGATTCCTGGTATGGGGCAGGGGGTGGGAGTGGGGACAAACTCTTCTGAAACCTTCAAAAATGTCAGTCACAAATGACACAGAAAGATGGAGGAACTGTTGCAGATTAAAGGAGAAGAAAGTGACTTGACAATCAAATGTAATTGAGAGTCCTGAATGGGACCTATTTTCTCCCTTTGCTCTGAAGGATGCGTAATGTCTGAAGGACATTATTTGAACTGGGGAAATTTGAGTTGATTCTATGATTAGCTAATATACCTAGAGACCAT